CCCCCCCCCCCCCGCTCCTCCCGGGCGTTCTCCAGACAACGCAGAATTTGAAATGTTGCTGTTTTGTAGAGGACGGCAAAGAAATGTACCAAGAATTATAACGCACGTGCACAGCTATTGTTTTCCTCGTTAAACCTTTAGTTTGGTGACGTTCTCTTTGCCGTTGCCGTCGTGTTTTGCGTAAGGTCCCTATTAACGTGAAATGACTAAGTTCTGCGTATTTTACAGAACGCGAATGGCGGCGGCAAATTCGGCAGTGTCATTTGGATTTAAACGCTGGCATTACGTATTTAGCTTGAGCAAGTTCTGAACAAATCTAGACAATTGCGAAACTCGAAGGTAAAATGTAAATTCATTCTTTACTAGGCGTTGTCCTCGCGGTCGCCATCGTCCTTACCTAACCTCTCTATTATGGTGACTGGTGCAGAACTGTGAAAATGGTGAAGTTGAACTTACAAACTCTGACACTAGTGCAATGAGCCAACCAAAAAAATGTGGTGAATCGTGATGATCAGTGATGATGGTAAAAGACTCACAGATAACAAAGACATTTCACTGTCTTGTCTTTTTAGTCTACGTCCCATTACAGAGGAAGATGTCACAGACCCATGATGAAGATGTTGATAATGTTGATGATGATGCAGGTTGATTGGGATGAAGACCCAACTCTGATGATAATTATTACGGGTTAGTACCTTAGTATGATGTTAGAGAAACCTGGAAGAATGCTGGCCGGGGGAGGGGGGGGGGTGGCCGCAGTGCACTAACATCTTCCCCCTAGAGGGATAAGTAACAATCTTAGGTGCTTTGTGCGATAGAAATCAGGATAACGAACTCAGCTACTGTGTCGCTGTAGAATGTAAGCTTGGTTTGCCAGGTTACGCATGAGAATATTCTATTACTTTTTTAACTTTTTTTTAATCCACAGACAGAGGTAGCTAAGGAAATGAGTAGTCAGTTAGGATTTCCTGCTTTGACAGCGGAGATTATTTCATGGTAGATTATGACGGGTAGGTAATTAAAGGCAAGAAATACGTTATGTCGCGTTATAAAGATAACGCTTCAAGGGAATGAACAAATGGGCACAAACTGTTGAAAGAAAGAGTTCCAGGGAAATGTAGCATTAGTCATTGAACATTAAGAGTCATAACAGACTAGACTTAAAAAGAGGTTAAGAATTTCTGCCACGAAGACTAGAAAATCTCCAGCATGCACTAAAAGCTGATGATATCAAGGACAGGAAAAGATAGAAAAACAACAGAGAAAGAGAGAGAAGAAGATACATGTACCTCTGAAGGGCTTGAGACCTCCAGCTCAGAAGTTATAGATTGGTTTAGAGAAGAACGACACTTTTGAACATGAGAGGAAAAGAACAAATTAATGAATTGAAGTTAATGATGAGTTAGTGAGTTACAATGTTACGAATTAGTATTGATTTCGGTACAATGATGAGTAATCAAAGTTAAATACAACAAAAAAGTTCAGTTTCGAGTCCTGGCCGGGGACACTGTGTTGTGTTCCACCCAGCTGTACAAATGGACACTGGCAAATTTAATGCTGGGGGTAACCCCTGCGATGAACTAGCATGCCATCCAGGGGGAGTAGAAATATCCCTAGTCACTTCATGCAACAGAAACCGGGATAAGCTCCGGCCTGCTGGGCTACTTGGCTCGTATGCTACTCAATTATTGAACTGATGTAGTCTACCTTCAAGTTAGAAAGTGGTTTGAGTTCATTCATTAGCATCAAGGGAAGATGTTTCTAATGAAAACAAAAACCCACGAACACATTCACATGTGATAAGCAGTTTTATAAGAGACTGGAATAAAAGGTCACTGCCTACCTTTAACTCAGAGTTTCCTTTAGAGTAATTGTATGTATTAGGTTTGTGGAATATATACAGATGTCTGCAAAAAAAAAAAAAAGAAAAGATACTTCGTAAAACAAGGACTGGAAATTTATAGCTAAACTATGTGATGTATATAACCACTCTTCTTTATACAACCCCATATGACATTTCATCCACAAACAAAACAAGTGAGTTTCCATGTATAGATGAAATTTCTGGTTCATTCTTTTCTAATACTTTTTATGCAATTAAGTTTGTGAATGCAATCCTTTTGATCTCAAAGTCACACAAATATTATTTTGCAAAATACCAAAAGACAAACAAGACCATTTGAATGGTAACATCCAGGTGGGGATACCCTGAGGGCAGTTGGCATAAGAGAAACCAAATGCCCACAGGGCAAGGTGGGGACCACACTAGGCTATGATTTCATCCAAAAAAACAAGAAAGCTACCTTGCTCAGCATAATACATACTCGGGTAAACAGTACCAAATGAAAGTACTGCTCAACAGCTTTCAATTGAATGGTTGCATATTAGGGTTTCATCCACAGACAAAAACAAACTATAACAAAATTACAGTGTAGCTTTGATTCTGGAGTGACTAAGGTAAGCCCATGAAAAGTGCAAACACACAGTAAAATTTCCTAACCTAAAGCATTTGCAGAAGTCAGCATATTCCATCCATATTTTCTTGTCTTTGTTGCTGTCTTCCTTGGTCTTGTCACCATCCTCTGTCTTATCCCCCTCAGTCTTCTCATCATTCATTTCTCCATCTGTACCCTCCCCAGGTGTCTTGTCTCCCTCATTAATAGCACAGGTAGCAAGATCAACCACAGGGCATTCGTCCTCACGAATAGGGTCAACTTTGTGCAGTGATTCTCTTAATGCTTCTATTTTCACTCCTTTGTCAACCCTGGACATTCGCCTTGACTCTGGAGGAGCTGCAAGGTAAGTTATAAATGACATTTAGCCAAGATGATCAAAGGGAGATCTATGCTGAGCTAATCCAGGATTGGCACCAAAATTGAATTCAGGTTTTTTTGTAGTTATCAATCATGGTTTCTCTTGGTTATTTCCATCTGACATTTTAAACATTGGTTTTCAATTGACTTACTTCATTCCCAGAGGTGCAGGAGCAAAGGCCTAGTGGTTAGTGACCTGGACTCCAGATCAAGTGGTCTGGGTTTGAGTCCTGGCCAGCCGGGGTCATTGTATTGTGTTTACGGACAAGACACTTTACTGTCACAGTACCTCTCTCCACCCACGTGTATAAATGGGTACCGGCAAATTAATGCTCGGGGGCTAACCCTGCAATGAACTAGCAACTATCCAGAGGGGAGTAGAAATACTCTTAGTGGCTTCGTGCTTTAGAAACTGGCATAAGCTGTGGCTGTATGGGCCATTGGCCTGACAAAGACTTAACCTTTATCATTCCCAGAAACAAAAAGCCCTCAAATAATCACACCTTCCCCTCTCCTCCTCCNGAGTAAATATACACAACAAAACAAAATAAAATTAATTAATTAATTAATTAAGCCTGTGGAATCATTGTTCAGCTCTAATTTCATTCCAAATACTGGTCCTGTAGTGAAGACCTAGTTTTACACTTTACATCACGATGGTATTCATTTGAAAAAACGCTAAGTTAGTTTTAGGTGTATATCACAATATTTAGAAAATCTTATCGATGAAAATTGCATTATTCTTACGTGCACATAAAAAATTTCCCTTTAAAGTTATTTATGCCTTTTTTTGTAAATTTCTTCTGATACAAGATGCTAGGCCTCTTCAAAAATAAACTCTACCAAAACCAACACAACAAAAGACAACTTTTGCACAAAACTCAAAATAATGTAGTTTCTTACTTTTAGTCAAGTCTCCAGGCTTCTCCATCCTAGACATTCTTCTTCCTTTTGGCGAGAGCCCACCAGACTTGTTCCTTTCAGGCTTGTCAATCACACTCAGCTTACTCCCCACTCTACTCTTACTTTCCGCAGACTTAGGTAGCTTATCTTTTTCTCCTCTGTCATTTTTTGCCGACTTTTCTCTCTCTTTTGTCTTCAAAGAGTCCTTGTTGGATGGTCGATCTCGAAGGTTTTCTTGGCTATCTTTGCTTTCTCTAATTTGTTCCCTTTCTTTGTCATGGTCTGGTTTGGTCTCCTCACCTTCTAGCCTTAGTGTTGGGCTCCTGGGTTTATAATCCTTAACAAATAAAGTAAAATGGACAATCAACTTCTAAAATTGGAATACTGCTTAAAATCAGACTGGGTATGTAAAGTTTTGTTTTCCAACAACTTGTCAGAAAGAAGCATTTTTACAACTGGGTAAAAAAGGGTTATGTAGCACTTAAAGACGGTGTCTACTACATTGTAAATACAAAGGTTTTTGCACCAGGTTAGGACCACGCAGAAAAAGTAGATCTTTGCAAGGGCTACTGGAATCCCTGAAGAAAAACTGGGGTAGCCATGCATTTTTTCGAGATAATTAGCCTTAAATCTCAACAAAAAAGCTGACATCAGCATTTTTCTGAAAAAAGAGGGAAATGATATTTCTTCACAGATTTCCTTAGAATTCGCCTTTACAGACAGAAAAGCAAACACATTTATAAAGATCTTAAAAACACATAGTAAATGGTAACATAAAAACCATTTTTGGTATGCTTTGAATACCAAAATTGTTGCAACAATAATGATAAGTAATTAAAATTATATACAAACAATACTTAAAACTAAACTGACTAATGCAACTCTGATGTCTTCCGGGAAAGTGGAAATTGCCCAGACTTGACTCATACTTGCATACATGTATAACTGGTCATTCCTCTTAAACTGCATATACTGAATTACCCACACACACCTCTTTAATGGCTGTAGCATCCTCAGTTCCTCCCTCTTTCTTCTCAGTTGTGGTTTTCTCAGTTCCTTCCTGCCCCTCTCCACCATCCTTCTTTTCTTCATCATCTTTATCTCCTTCTTCCAGTATTTCACCCATTGGCTTCTCAGGACGGAATTTCAACCACCTAACAGGGGTCCTAAAAGCATTTTTTTTTTCTCAAGATGGGAAAAAGTTACCTACAGCATTTTAACAATCTTCAGGAGCTTGGATGTGCTCCATCTGTAATGATATTGCAATTGACTAACAGCACACAACAAAACACTGCTGAAACTAATTACAGTTTAAACTTCTACGTACAGAAATAATGCTAATACAATACTCAATAGTACGAACAATACTCGGGGTGGGAGGGAAGTTAACAATGGGTCGTGGATGGAGGAGAAGTTAACAATGTATTTACTTTTTCATTGTGTCCATGACAGAACATACATCATTGTTTACTTTGAAGAGTTTACATTATTTTGTACTCTCATACATGTTAAGATAAAAAGAAAAGACGCCAAGCTGCCCTGCAAATCACTGATCATAAACTGATTTCAGGTAAGAAGGGTTATACATGTAAGTACTTACTGTTGTTATTCTATTTTCTAGGAGCTCAGGTGTCACTGATGAACTAATGTAGTTCTCATGCATTGTGATAGTATACATTTCAATGCAAAATTTAGTTTATTTGATTTAATCTTACCTTGCTCTGCTGACAGGAATGGGACTGACTTTATGGTTAAGAAAAGGAGACACAATTTCCAAGAACTGTGGCTCTTTTGGAGGCTCTGGGGGAGTCAGCGCTGGCTCCACTGGCTGCTTCTTCTTCTTCTGCCGAATAAGCTTCCACCGTGGGATCTGTACAGGAGGTGGAGGTGGAACCAGGGGGCAGTCTCTTGCTGTCGTTAACATGACAGGATGGGGGTGGTTATGAGACAGTCCAGACTGCCTCAGTTTCTCAGACGCATCAGCCTGCAAGGACACAGGGAACATGTCAGTGATCTAGATTTTTGTTTTGTTGCCTGTCTGTCAGTATCACTGTATGTGATAACTAATCCTGACTGAGTAAGATTAAAGAAAGAGCACAATTAAACTCTAAAACTGTTAGTATAATCAGTCTCTGATGTATTGAGTAGAGAACAGATGCTAAAAGTAATTTTAAAATCCCACTCTAAGAGGAGGAAATGGGGGAGTTCTGAACACCGCAACACCGCAAAAAAAAATTAACGAACAGCGCATCACCACAAGAAAAGTCAAGGAAACACTGTCACCACAACTCGTATTTTTAGCGCCATGATTCGTTCATCTACACTTAAAACAATACTTTTATACCTCAACAATCTTCCACAAAATAAACATATCACAACGCTTTTCATTGCGCATGTGTCAATACTGCTGATGCCCGTAAATCAGTTTTCTTGGTCTTGTGAAAAAACCTTGCGGGAAGCTAGGAAGCGGACAAAGAAAAAAGAGACGAGCCAGGTCAAATTTAGGTTTGAGAATGGTAAATCAAAAGACCCCAGCACCGCAAACAATTTCACTTCACCAAACACCGCAGCATGAAAAACACAAACATCGCACACCGCAGGGCTTGAGATCACCACAACACCGCAACTTTAGATTTTATTCAGCGCATCACTGCATTAAAAAACATCAACACCACAACACCGCAAATGCCCATGTCCCCCTCCTCTAAAGTAACATATTTGAACAAGATGCATTCTATGTACATGTACATGTAGAGCACTCATTCTATGATTTATCCATACACGCATGTATTTATCTGAGTCACAGTAAATATTGCCTAATCACTAACTTTATTAATTCATTCAAGCGAAACATGAGCAAGTAGAGTATGTAACCTCTAGTCAAAAATAAAGAAATTCAGTCAATCTACCGTGAGGTGCAGTTGGCTCATGGTTAATGTGCTTGTCTCTGGATCGAGTGGTCTGGGTTCGAACCGTGGCTGGGGACATAATTTTGTATTCTTGGGCAAGACACTTCACTCTCACAGTGCCTCTCTCCACCCAGGTGTATAAATTGCTAGTTTTCAGCGTCACGCAATTTAAAATAGATCAAAATAAAAATCAAAACCGGTCAATACATAAAGTCCAGAATCTGGGNGTTTTAGTGGAACCACCTATGACGTCATCACTTATAATACAAAAACGTGAATATCTCTAAAACGAAAAAAGATATTCCAAAAAGGAAAACGCCATCCTTCTTTACTTTGAAAAGCCTTTCAAATCAACGGCAATTATTTTTTACTTCATAGGCACTTTAAGTAAAATCTCAGGAAGATCAATAGTTTTGTAGTTTGAATTTTGGTGACGTCATGTGAAAACCAGCTATAGATACTGGCAAAATTAATGCTGAGGGTAACCCTGCGATGGGCCTTACTGTGTGACCAGGAACAATCAAAATGACCACACTTTAACGTAACGATTCTACTCACCATTTCTTTAAGAACAGAATGTCTCATTGGTGTATTTGGTGGATGGGAGTAACTGGCAAAAATAACAAATTCTGGCTCCTTTGGGACCTCCACAGGATTTACAGCTGGAATGGCTGGAATCAAACAAAGTATGATAATTACATCTACAGTGCTGCATGGAACATGGAACGTTTTCATTTGGTATTTGTATGTGTATGGAATACTAATCTTTTTAACACTGTTGGTGAGGTTTGTGTAGAAGCTGCTTGCCTGAATATAGTTTCAAAAACACAAAATGCAAAACTCTTTTGCAAAATCACAAATTTTCTTATTTTTTCACCCTCAGCAAATTTCAGATTTACTCAAGTCACCTCTAGGGTCATGTTAATTACACAAATGGGAAGGGATGGGTACAGGTGCAGGCAGAGTGTTAGGACAAGCACAGCTCTCGATACGGGGGCAGTAACAGTATAGTTATTAAATCACTAGCTTTGTGAGTGGGCAAGATGAACCGAATCCTACACTATGATTGGCTACCCAAGCCCCATCTTGCCTGCTCAGGATTATCCATTGTGTCCTGCAAAAACATAGCATTCTTTTTCCATATGATAAATCCTTTACCATATTGACCAAGCTTGTTCGGTCAAAATGGATATTGGCCTAATTCTTTTTTTGCGTGTTTGTGGACCTCCACTCTGTCTAGGGTGATAAACATGCAAAAAAGGGACTTGTCCAATATCCAGCCATCTTGACTTCATGCTTGGTCAATAACCCATAGGTAACTGTATGGGAGGGAGCATATGCATTTCTGGCAGAGTGCAAATCAGGACAACTGAACCAATACCTTTGTCCTTGTCTTTATCTTTGGACTTGTTGTCTCTGTCAGCTTTCTCAGACTGGGCTTGTCCTTTGTCAGACTTTGTTGATTTTCTCTCTTTGTCCTTATCATCCTTTTTCTTACCCTCTGTGCTTGTCTGTTTCTTCTCCTCTGGTGGTGGAGTGTTCTCTAGTTTCCAACGTGGCAAGGCTTGGAGAAGGAGCTTCCAAATTTCAACAGTGTTGCCACACCTTCACAGGGGCAAAAATGACATAAGCTACCTTTACTCTTTGCAGTATTTGCAAAACAAGACTTTTATTACCTCAGAGGGATAATTTCTGGTAACCACCCTGTCAAAGCATGAACCACAGTAAAGTCACCAAACTCACAGGCATTATAACCACCAGCATAACTGAAAAGGAAAAAAGGAAATCAGAACCAAATGATCTTTACAAACATCACAAAAAGTAGTGCTGAATTTTTTTTAATAGAAATATTTCAACTTAGAAGTTATAAACCTCTCGCATGCATTACCAACAAGTTACAAATTCAAGGTAGCTATCTCCTGAAAGAAGTAACCCTCCCCAAATAGTACACCTGTTATCCACCTTTCAAACAACCTAGGCCTGCTGTACAGTAAATTCTTTCCAACAAGAGTTATCCTTTCAGCTGTCTACATGTCGAAAATAGTTTAATTTATTTATAGATGTAGATCGGGTGACCTGTGGTATACCCATATCATAGCAATATTACAATGTAAAGAAGGCTGCTTAATTTGAAACAAATGATGGCTGTTACTCTTAGAACTTTACGGCACTCTCAAGTTTACATCATTCATTTTATAAGAATTTCAGAGAGCAAATAGTCAAAGTTACTTACTCTAATGAAGCTACTTTTATGAGAGCTTTGGACAGTAACATAGGCCAGAGCTCATGTTCATTAGGCGTGGCTGGTAACAAAAGTTTACCATCTTCGTCAAATGGCATCCAGTCATCAACTGTTACTTTCCGCCAAGTACCCTAAGTAGACAAAGTGTAAGTTTAACTTCAGAATTCAACTAGTGTACCATTGCTTTTATACTAGCAGCCTGCACATGGACATGCTGGTGTTAGCTTTCACATGAAGGTCTGATGATAAAACCCTTGTGTGAGTATGTGACCAAATGAAAACTATTGAGAAGTACTGTCATGTAATACTTTTCAATCTTGTGCTGTTCAAAATTGTTCCTACCAAGTGCACATAAAATTATGGATGAAACCATTAAACACAAGTACACCTGTACCATTCAAATGACAGCTAACAAGCAGTACTTTCATATGTTTCTGTAATTTACTATTATGGGTTGTATTTCAGCATCCTCATTGCTTAATTAGCACAGTAGTGCTTAAGACTTTGACACCTAAACAAAGCGATTTATGCTGCATAAGGGGGTTCTTAAGCTTCATAACAAGTGGAAGAAACCTCATTTGAGTGCTTTTGGGAATTCAGAGGCTCATACAAAACATTTGCTTTGTCTTTTGCAGGTGCTAACTTACCATCCAAAAGATCCTAACACAGTATTTTCCTCCAGGGTTGTAGACAGGCAGAGGACTTCCTTTTGTCTTCTCTTTCGGCCAGATGTGACCCCAAGGTTTCCAAGTGTTGTCTTCTAACAATGCATCTTTGTCTTTTTCTCTGTCTTTATCTTTCTCTTTGTCCTTCTCTTTGTCTCCTTTGTTACTCTCTTTGACATCTTTTGCACCCTTCACAGTCTCTACTGGCTCAACCTTGAAGTGCTGCTTCCACAAGCAAGTCACCTGACCTATTATCCAACGAAGTAACTACAAACACAGAAGTTAAACTACAATCAGATATCCATAACAGTTATTTACTACAATAAACATGTACACCTTATAACACCTCTCCACCACAAGACATGATTAACTTATTCTGGAATATGAGTCCTCTCTTTACTAATTAATGGTACATTGTATCTGTTACAAATTAAAGGGGTTGGAGTTTCCATATTTTCTTGAATTCACACTGCCATCAAATGAGAGCAGCACATGACAGCAATAAAAATTAATAAGAACTGCTCTGCTAGAAAAAACCCTATACATGCTAATGCCCTTGTCATGGGCTCTAACAAATCACCTATTCAAAGAGGCTTATGCTCTTCATAATGACTGGATTCTGATATGATTAAGTTTTGGTTGAAGTTAATAACTGTTACCATTTTGGATAACAAAACGATTTGTTACATAATGTACATCTTACTTAAAACATTTTCTCAGACCTGGCTGATCTTGCGGTTGAATCATGCACACTTAGGAATCCCTTGTGGAATGAACATTTTACTTTATTTACAACATTAAGTCAATCATGAGGCAGAAACATTTTCACAGTAATTCTCAAACTCATTAAATAATTCATCAAGTTAAAACATAAGCATAGATTTTGACAATTTTATTTCTCCATTAACTCCTTAGTTTTTGTTTTGATTGAGACAATTTATCAAACACTTGAGACAGCTTTTGATTGGCTACCCAAACACCTCAAATTTCGTCCGATGCACATCGTAATTTTATCTCTCTTCTCAGTGTTTGGGTATCACAAATGAAACACTCTCTCTCTCATGTTTAATTCACTATATTACTTCACATACCTCACTGTGAAGTTTATATGAAATAATTCATATATGAACTGCGGTTGTAGATGAAAGTGAAGAATGATCATCGCAGCTAATTTTCCAATTTAAGCAATT